GAGTTCATTACCAGCTCTGGCAGAGAGTCCTGCTGCCCATTCAGATACAGAAGACCACTTACCCCTACCTACCTTCTCCAAGCAGAGAATATAAAGGGAGGGTCTGAGAAAGTCTCAGAAGATTTCTAGGAAGCTGCAATTAATTAGGCAGCAGCAGCTGCATTGAGTTGCTGAACTATAAATTCCCAGCCCTGTCTCTGGAGGTTGTCAGAAGTTATTTGACCTATCTGGCTCGCTGTTATGTTCCTGACCTCTGTGCTTGACTTGGACTGTGCGTGTTGACTCTGGATGCCATTGATCTGACTTGGACATTGCTGAACTCTGGGACTTAAGGCTTGTATTTATTAATGTAAAGTAAGTGCTGAATTGTAAGCTACACTGTGACTGTGTTTGATCATTAGCTGCTGGCTATCAGCTGAGTGGCAATCAGGCTTTGGCTGTTTGCCCCAACTGTGGTTGGGACACATGTCCGCATGTGCAATGTGTCCCAGTGCGATGTGTAATGTATACCAATGCACAATATGTCCTGATGCAACGCATAATGTGTCCTGATGTGTAACATATCCCATTGAGCATCAGGACATATTAGGCATTGCAAGTGTTTAACAGCTGCAATGCTGGTGGCTCCATTTTTGCAATGATGTTGGACACTTAGCTAGGTCTCTGCTCCCCTCCTAAGAATATGAGCATTGCACAACATTGCAATTCACCTATACAGGATCATTAGTCAGTTAACTTGACATAAATACGTAACAGAATACCAACCATCGCATGAGAGGGCCTCAGCTCTCTGTCTTGTATTCCCCTTCTCCTCCTCATTCCAACACGAGATCTGATCTGGCAGCTGGAAAACCAGCTTGAGGCATTTTTGTTATGAGAACATCCTCTTAGCCATCTCTGCCGTCAGCATGAGTGAATGGAAGTGTCATTTTAGGAGGGGGGAAGATCTTGATCCTGAAGGCATGGATCAAGTAGTTCTTATATTTTGGGTTTGTTTTTATTTGCCATTGTAAACGAATGCCTT